AGAGAATGGGGAACAGCTGATAAGACTCCTGTTAACTATTGGCAATGATGCACTGAGTACCCATTTAATTATCATAAATGGCCAATATAATTCTCCCTGACTGGTGTTCAGCCTTCGTGCCATGGCTGTGCTTTCAGACTGTGGCTTGCATTTAGTTTCAAGGTGGAGAATTGAAAATGGTTTCTAAGATGCGGCTTGCAATTGAGATCATACTCAGCTGTAATCTGAGTGTTATTTGTCATAGCTTGTCTAAACCATGTAGTGTCCTTTCACACTGATCAATCTCTTAATAATGGAAAGCTATTTTAAAACTTCTCAATATGTCACATTGATGCATAGATACGTGTTTTGTGTGATGTTTATGTAATAGTGAGTTTATAAAACGAATGGAATTGGGCAAGATACAGCTTCATGCAGTTGTTGAATGACTGCAATGACCAATTTTAAATATCGATAATTTTTCTTTAGGCTTTATGTTTTTGAGGGTCTTGACTATCTGGGCCTAGATCCTGGAATTGGTGCTTGGAAAGCACATGCTCAAAATTCTGAACTCCGCTATTTATCATAGTTGCTGACTCCTCTTCAGTGCTCTGTGTTAATGTGAGTTATTATCAGTGTTGCTGTGTGTAAGGATCAGCATTTGCCACTGGACAAGTGGTAATTTCAGAGGCAAGGGATACATAGAAAACACCAAAAATCAGCAAAATATCTCAATTTTTTATATTCCAAGCTATTATTGGAGCCTAGAGGCTGCAGGAAACTGCTATAACTGGATGTCGGGACATAGAGGGCTGGAGCTGTTGCCTCCTTTGTGATAACAGTGGGGTAGACTTCCCCGAGGGAAATGTGTGCCACCTTTGTACCCATCTTCCAGCTGCAGGCTCTCTGCTCTCCAGCTCCAGGGGCAGGTGAGAGAGCGTATTGTATCAGTGGTGCATTTAACTGACTGTGTAATTACCAGCCTTTGAGTAGAATACTGTACGCTTGCCTGGGAGATCTCCTACTGTGTCCAGGGAGGCTTGGCATCTCCAGCTTCACCTTAGCTGATCTGGCTTCTGCAAGGCTGACTTGTATAGCATCACTTTCTGAATAATTTGATAACCATCTGAAGCTGGTCTCAGTGCTCAGATTTCTGCGTTTTCCATAATTCTGGATGTGGTTTTCATAATGCAGAAGCTGTTAAAAGAAGTTAAATAGCGTTCACTTATTTTAACATCTGTTGTCTGCCGTTTTCAGCCTTTAACACAAGTGAGGATTTTGCCATGTGAGGAGCTGTACTATAACAAATGGGTACTGGTGTTAATATATATTTATCACAACTGAAACCTGATATTGTGTGCACTCTAATCAGGGTGAATTTGAAAGAGCAAAAGATAGTAATATTACAAGGGGATAATTTGTCGGAGGTTTTTATTTTGACTCCTTTTTTTTTGTTGTCAAAGTAATTCTGTTGATTTTATTTGCTTGGTCTCAAAACCTTTTGGGAGTTACCACGGGAAATAAGGTAGTTCAGATGCAAACCTCTTGCATCATGGCTAGCACTGTAGTCTTAAGAACTAATAAACCTCCTGTGTGCTTACTGAAAGTTCCTCATTGTAGGTGGTGAGCAAGCAGAGCTTTACAGGTTTTCTCTTCAAAATACGTCTATTTTTAAGGGAGTGTGCTCTCGATGGTTGAGTGGATTACAGGATAGTGTTGACGTTTTTGTGCCTTCACACCTTTAGGATTGCTTTATTTCTTAAAAACTAGCTTGACCAATGTGTAGGGTAAAGTTTCAGGAGATACACAGTCAGATTATGTATTTTTATGTTAAACACTTTGCCATTGACTTGTTCTCAGGTCAACTGCAAAGCTGGCCTGTTGTCAGCCAATGCAGTAAATGTGTTACTGTGTGGATGCTGACAAGGAAACAGTCATCCTTTGTGAGTATTCATTTGTATTTGTATTTCATTGTATTCATTTGTTTCCTATTAAAACTTTCATTTAAAGGTATTCCTTAAAATACGAAGGGTTATATATGTCTTGAAGTGCCACACATATTATGTCTGTTTGTTTTTTCAGGAGCATGCCTTTTTATAGTTAATAAATTTGCTCTTATTTTTTCTATACTGAAAACACTGTCAGGGTTACCTGCTATGCTGTCAGGTCCTGGAAGGTAGTAAAGGTGAATGGAGTCCTTGTGATTTTTCTTTCATGGGCAACATCCATTTAGAGGTTAGTTTTCTCCCTTCTGGCTCCAGTAAAATTCCAGATAACTAGTAGGTCAAGATGGAAAATTAAAGAACAGCGTAGTATTCAAAAAATGTCTTTACAAACCAATGACTGTAGGAGACAGCTGAGCTGAGCTTTCCCGAGCTAGTCTTAATACTGTAAGTTTATTCCAAGCTATTTTTGTTTGAATTGAACAACACAGGTTGTTGGGTATTTATTTTGCAGGTTACTCCCTTTACTTAAATTTTAAACTCTATGGAATAGACACAGGCATGTTGCTGATCCTGAATGAATGCCTATGGACTGGATCCCATTTCAGAGGCACTTAACTCACATTTGCAGCACTGCTTTTCTAACAAGGCTCAGACTCGCTCCTGTGCTTGATGTGACATCTAGGCTATAACAGGAGGGAGAGTGCAGACTTCGGTGGAAACAGTTCAATGTTAGAAGCCTGAGCAGGGTAGGAGACTTGTATTTCCCTCCCTCTAGGTTAAATTGGAGAGTAAGCACATATAAACTTCCCTTAGGGTAGTTCTTACCTGTTGGGCACATCTTTTTCCTTGAGACAAAGAAACTGACTTCCATGAAACTGGAGGAAAAAAGTGAGTTTGAATGAAGCTGACTGCAAGGGTACTTTAACTCTTATCCAAGGAGGAGGATTGTCAGTTCTGATCAGACTTGGAAAGAGTTGCTTTTGGTGGTTGCTCTTTGAGGATAATTATTATGACTTCTTCTAATAGAGCCTGGTCTAGGAGAAAGGGGGATGATGGGATTAAAAAAAAAAATAGCCTATTCTGTGTCCCCATTTCTCACCATCCCTCTCAGCTGAGGTGGGAACAAGAAGGTAATAGAGCAGGATTCCCTGTGGAGAAGGTTTGGGTTCAGGTGGTGATTACCTTGCTTTAGCATCTGCTTGCAGAGGTCCTTTTTTTTTTTTTACTTGCATGGTTACACTGGTGCTGAATTAATTGTTTGTGTTGTGTTTGAATTAATTGTGTTGTGTGCTCTATGGCTTTAATCTGAGAAAGCCACTGGTCAAAGAAATTGGCTGTACCTTGACTTGAGCTGTCTGTAACAAGAATAATAAGATTTAAAATAGCATGTAAAATTGACTGTTGAAGGTGTTTTTCATTGCCATGTCTGTGAAGACTGTCCTTTCAGTGTGACAGGCACATGGAGTATTTAACTTTGTGACTCATAGCCTGAAGATCTCTTGCTACGTCAGTAAAAGCTGACATCACCAAACCCTGCCTGTTTAGAAAATTTACCTTCCCAGCCCAAAATGAAATATTTTCTACATTTATTCTATATATGTTCTATATCTTCTTATTCCCTTTTCAGAAGAAGGAAAGCTTTCTGACAGTGCCCCTGAAGAGCAAGGATCAGTCATATCCTGCTAAGGCTTCCTAGGCTGCAGGCACTTTTCAGTGTGATATGATTTCTGTACCTCCCTCCAGGGAAGAGGACTGCAGGAATATAAATTCCTGCTTGGGGTGAAATTACCCTTACCGTTTAATATGGTTTATAGTTTGTAAAGTATTCACAGAACAAGTGATTGGATTCTGATTGCTTTTACAAGCCCAGCTGCCTGGACCCATTGCCCATTTTAGTACTGTAAATCCTCAATTCCTTATCGGGGCTTTGTGTTACTGAGATTTGGTAAAGGAACTGATACAGCTGCTGATGTTTCAGGGCTGCCAGGGAAAAACCTGAGTGGAGTTCCCCTTTAGGCACAGTGAAAAGTGGAGCTTTGTGTTCAGTGGTGGTTTTTTGTGAGATTGGGGGTTTTCCATGTGTTGAATTTGCTGTGCTGTAGCGGGTCATGCCTGGCTCATCCTCGCTGTGTAAATGAGGAGTGTGGTGTAAGTAAAGCTTGTCTTTGACTAGCTGGACTTTCAGAAATAGTGGGTATGACCTGGGTAACACAAAACTGCTGCTTTGAAAACTTGGGCTTAGTTTTATTTGCTTTTCTGTGCTTGATAATGAAGCTTGCCAGCAAAACTCTGATTCTGTAGAACTCATTCTGCCCTCTTACAGATGCAGCATGGTGTATACAGAACTGAAAAATGGTTATTATGTGTGCTTTGAATTATAACAGAACTGAAGAATGTATATTGAAACAGATGAGCTGTTTTGGGGGCAAAGGTAAAATAGATCCATTTGTTTAGTGATATATGAATGGAGTGCAAAGTCAGGTGGCAGTAAAAGGATTAGAAAACTTATTTTATGAAGGTCAACACTTTAGTCTACAAGAGAGAATTGATGGTTCAGAGTATGGATTTAAGTCTGATTTATTTTTTTTTTTCTTTTCCAAGTGTCTGTTACAGAAAGGTGGTATGTGCTGTGGGGAGGACTCTGCAGCAGAGGAGTCTTAGGTTGGCGTTTCAGAAAACGCTTCTGGACTATCCCTGAGCAGTATAATAGTTAACCAGGGAGGTTGTATGTAGGGTTTGAAGAGCAAATTAAGTGAACTTGTCCTAGTGTAAAAGTATAAATGGGACTACATGATCTTTCAATGTACCTTTCAGCCTCTCAGTGTGATGGTTTGTACACTTGAAATGTATATGGGAGAAACATCTCTGCTTGTTTGGTTTCCTTTCTGTAGTGTTTACCACCTTAAGGGGAACAGCTTGTTTTCTTCTTCTGCTTTGGGAAAACTTAATTGGCTAAGAATGGTAGAAACTTGAAAATGGAAAAACAAAATGCATCTGTCTTGTCTTCCTTTGCTAAATCTGATGGTTCATTCCAGGCTAAACGTAGTGTCTGAGTTAGAGCAAGACTGGACTTTATATACTGCCAGGTTCTTAAGAAAAGTTTCCTTTGCCATCTGTGAGTACTTAAATTTTAATGTATGTTATGCCTTCAGAACTTCAAAAGAAAGCCCTGACTACTGTCTCTTAAAGTTTTGAAACTTTTCAAGTATTTAAATAACATGATAATTCCTCTAGTTGTCAAACTATCTCACTGAATTGAGTGGAAGGCTTTTGTATTTGAGTTTCGAGTTGAAGTACAGCATGGGCTGAAATTGTATTTGTCTAGGAAATTATAAAGAATAGCTATCACAGTATATTGAGATGATATATCATCTAACACAGATACTTGAAATGCAATTTTTGAGCTATGATTTGTTCTTATTTATTTGGCTTTGGACCTGCCATCTCAGGGAAACTTGACTTAGACTGAACTGCTGAGGCCAACTGGGCAAGGAGATACTTGAGAATATTCTTGAAATGCTAAAATGTGTAAGCAAATTGTACCAGGTTTGCTGGCAGGCAACTTTTTTTTTTGCACCAGAATGAGTAATTCTAATGCAAATTCAATATGAGACAGTGCAAGAAAATATATGGATGAAAAAGCTTGTTAGAAGATATTTGATAATATAAGGAGCCATTTTCATGGTCAGAAGCTTTTGCCGTTACCAGTGAGCTCTGATTTGTCCACGAGGAGTCTGTGTACCAGCGAAGGCTCCTCAAGAAAGTTTGTTCAAGGAACAGGCAATGCATCTTTTCTCTTGAAATGCTAATGTTTTACCAGTGATGCAGAACAGGTTTGGTACCCAGGCTCCCCTCTCTTATCTTGGCTTAGCCATAGTAGACAGAGCTGTTTTAAATAAAAGCTGTTTTTAGGTGGAAATGAGTGACAGAGCATACTAATGTTATGCCTACCTTACTAATGTCTTTGGCCTCTAGGAAGTATTGAAATATGTTCAATATATTTTATTAAAAATGATAGTGATAATCCCATTAGTGTAGTTTGTTGCAAGCTTATAAAATAGAAAAGGCAGTTTGCTATAAGGCTAGTGAAGAGATTGGTGTGAAAGGCTCTTGTTCTGTGAACCCATGAGTATTGTCTTCCAAAACAGTAATTCTAAAAAAAATACCTTTTTGGTAAAAGTTCATTTCCAGCTATATTGTTAGGTCTGTGCATTTAGAGAGCATCTGTCAGCAGTTGCACTGATGTAAGATTTGAGGCTTTCTTCATCCAAATTCTCCGGGAAGCAGCTGGCCACATCTTTATGAAAAGAAAGCCGTTACAATAGTGCTTATTTGTATTTCCCCCTTAAAAGATTAGTATTCAACACAGTGGAAGATAGTTCTGCACAAGCAGTTTTCAGAGGAGCAGTTCTTGGCTTGTAAAGGGCAGAGCCTTTTTGCCTGGAGGAGGATTTTGGGCTCATGCTTGCTGGAGCAGTGTGTCCTGCTCAGGCTGAGCTTCTTGGTAGGATTCCTGGCTTTGGCAGCGCAGATTGTGTTCTTAGCTCAAAGAGAAAGTTTGCACAACTGGCAGGTGTTTAAAGTGAGCCAAACTTTATTTTCTTGGCTGGCTGTTCAAAAAAGAGAGATGTCTGCACCTGAGCGAGTCAGCTTCTCGTTCAGAGCAGCGGCGTTTCTGGCTGCCAAGTCATGGCATCGCAGAACGGGCTCAGCTTTGTGCTTGACCAGACTTGCAGGTCAGCATCACAGAGGCTCCTGGAGTGCATAATGCAGAAGAGATCACTGTCCTTTATCTGCTCTTCTTAGCTGTGCAGGGGGAAAAGATCAGCTCTTTCCCATCCTGCTAGCTGCAGCGACAAGGGCAGGCATCACTGAGATACCTTTTGTTACCTCTGCGTGGATGAGGCAGAAATATCTCTTGGGCTTTTCTCATGACACATAATCTAAAATTTTCCTTGCTTGTCTGTCAGTAATAATAGATCATATCTTCCAGTGTTCTCTATTGTTAGGAGTTGAAAAAATGTATTAATGCTTTCTTGAAAGAAATAAACTAAAAAAAGTTATCTTAAATAGATTAAATTTGTGAAATAGGTGAGGAACATACAAATTTATTTTTGGCATCAGTTAAGTTACTCTTAACTGAATCAAAGCCTTAATTAAAGCCCTTGGAGCATCCCACTGCTTCTTGGATGGTACACTGGTGTCTATGGTGAGTTGCCATAGATAATTCCTGCATTTAATAGAAATTTTGTGAAGGGATTTAACAATGTACATCTTCCCAGTGAAGCACTGGTGCTGTTATGGTATCTTCTTAATCCTGCTGTGGATCTCAAAACCTTCCCTGTAATTTGTGGCCAGTAGGTAGAACCCAGAACAACCTGAAAAACTATTTTTACAGTGACTGCAACTTCGTGTTGGCAAGAGAGAGTATGTGCTTGTTTCTCAAGCCTCTTTAAGGATTAGGTGTTGCTTTCTCCTGGCTCTCTGTTCTTTCCCAAGCTGGTGCCTGACTTTCATGTTAGTCACAGTGCGACTTGCCGTCTAGTTTTTTTGCTGAGGGAAGCAGGTGGAAATGGTATTTCTTATGCGAGGAGGATTCCATGTCTGCTGTGGAAAGCTTGCACTTTTTGCAAATACATGTAAACATTTGAGTGCAGCAAAAAGGAAGGGATGTGTTCCACTAAAACCCGGCCAAACCAGCAGCCTTGTGTCCTTCTTGCCCTGTGTTAGTTCTGTGTTGGTCAGCTGGGCCAGCAGTGCTGTTCCTTGGAGTTTTATGTACCACTGACACAGTACTTAACCATAGCATCTTGATTGCCTGCTCCATCCAGACACTGATAACCATTCGTAAATATTTATTTAAGGAGAACTGTGTTCTGGTGTTCCTCCATTTGAGAAACTATTTGCCAACTTCTACCAGCAGTGGGGAATTGCAGAGGACTTTCAGCAAAGGAGTGGTAGTTGGTCACCTTTAGTTGCCATTCTTTATGCATGTTCTGCATGGTTTGGTTCTTTTTCTTGCAAACCTGATCAAACCATGACTTTAGGGAGGCAGCTCAAGAAAGAAAGGTAGTTGGGGAAGCCATTGTCTTTTTATTGCTTCTCCTCAAGGAAAGCTAGTGCAACACAGAGGTGCAGGAGAGCTGTAGCAATGTAATGACAGGCACCGATGGGAGTTTGCTTCACTGTGTTAGCTACTGCATTTCACGTGTGACAACTTGGAGTTACTATCACATTCCCAGTTACAGGTACGTAGGTATCACTAATATTGGCATGACGCTGCTGCTATGTAAAGCCTAAAATATAGTGTAAGGGTTTTGTAGTTTGTTTTTTCAAAAGAAAAAGTGAACAGTTTACTTTTGTTATGGTATGAATTAGAAGAAATCATACTGTTAAACAACTTCAGTTCAAATCCATTCTGCATGGGGTAAACTACAGCAGTGTAGGTTGTAGACAGCCTCTACGGAACTGGCCCCACTTTCTCTACTCATTGTTGTGTGAATGTGTTTTAGGGTAATTCAGTTATTTTGATCAGTCTGTTTCTAATTTATTGTTTTATTGCTTTTTTACAGGCAGGCAGAAGTCCTGAAGGCTGACATGACAGGTAATTGCCTTTATTACACAGTTGATACAGCTGCTAACACTTTATTCCTGTTTTTATTTTCCTTTTGTGTGTTCCTTATGTTTATAATTTCTAAGAATTCTCTGGGAAGTGTGTGACATTGATAAAAGTTTGTCCTCTGTCTATAATTAAACGACATTTTAACAACTGTGCCTCTCTCTCCTGTATGTAAAAAAAAAAATACATTCATTTTAAAAGTTGATTTTGTGTGTTTTGAAGCATTTGTAGATGGAGGTCATACTCCCACTCCTTCCCTGAGACTCCTGTCCACACTACCACAGGGACTGCTGCACTGGGCATTAGCACAAATCTGGATGGTTTTGAGAATCCACGGTGATGGAAATGTTGAAACAAGTTATGAAAGTGCAGCCCGTAGGTGCTATGAAATGCTACAAGCTATGTATTTATGGAAAATGAAATGGTTTCTATTGATGCAGTAGAAGCAGCTTGCATAATGAACCCATGCTCAGCCATGCTTACCACCTTGGTGTAGTACCCATAGCAGGTTGGTATAGTCCCTGTAGGAACATTAAAACTACCTGGATCCATCTAACCCAGCAGGAGTGGCTGCACCATCAGCAGAAGGGTTTACCTGGGTTGAGGCCCATCCCTCGTGCTCCCGTGGCCCCAGCTCAGGTGATTTTTTACAAGGCAGGGGAACCTGGACTCTGTAACTTGAGATAGCAGGGAACAATGTTTGCATTCACCCGTGGTGATGCAAAGCAGATGGCTACCAAGGACTTAGAAAATGGCAAGTATGCAGTAGTACTTGCCCACAGTGTTCTCCTAAATACCATCAGTGTTGGCTCCAGGAATTGTTCTATTTAGCATCTTGTGATGGATTTTTTTTTCCTGCTAATTTTTTCAGGCTACTCTGGAAATTTTTTCTAAATTCATCCAGTGGCAAGAAGTTCTGTAGCTTAATGACTTGTGGAGGATCACCTCCTCCTATCTGTTTGGGGTTTTTGTTGTTGTTGTTGTTTACTTGCCAGCTGCTGACTTTGCTCATGTCTAGTTCTGGTGTTGTAGGAGACTGATCAGTTAATCAGCGGTCAGTCAGTCCTCAGTCCATCTGCAATTCTTGTATTTCATTGTTCTGATGAACCTGTGATAAAAGTTGGGTGTTTGGCATTGGATATCTTACACTGTGTATCTTATACACTGGATATCTATGGTCTTTCATTTGGTGGGTGAGTGAAAAAACAGAGTAACTCTGTAAATTTGAGTATTACAAAAACTGTTGTCTTTGTTTTTTCTCTTTGCTGCTTAGATTCGAAGCTGGGTCCAGCAGAAGTCTGGACATCCAGACAGGCTCTGCAGGACTTATATCAGAAAATGCTGGTGACCGATTTGGAATATGCTTTAGATAAAAAGGTGGAGCAGGACCTGTAAGTACCTCAATAAATTTCTATGTATATATGTAGTCTGGGCTGGTGCACAGGAAACCCTGAGCCTTCCAGAATAGCAATTGTATCCTATGTAGTGGTTGTCTGATTTCCTTTAAAATGAGAGGTGTGCTGTAGGTAAAACATGAGAATGCACTGCAAAGTCGATGAAGAGCATTCAGTAGGTTAGTATTTTACCTTTGGCAATTGAGTAGCAGGCATGTCATGCAGGAGTTGGTTTTGATGAGTCAGATAGAAGGGAGCGAGCTAAGAAACATCAGTCTACTGTGCTGTTGGGGAAGGGTTGGAGTTTGGAGTTTCCAGAAAGGAGGAAGATTGCCTGATGTAATGATCTGGAGCTCAGAGCAAGGCCTAACAGGAATTGAGTAGCTGCTAAAGACCCTAATTTTAAACCCTCTGAAGTAGGATTGGGCAGAGGGAGGGATATCAGGAGAGAACTTCATGGGTTGCTCATGGCACAGTAAGAATCAGGGGAAGATCCTACTGGGTTTTCTCCATGCCCTGAATCCATTCTCTGTTATTTAAGATGGAGACGTGATATAACAGGTTTAGTTAAGTGAATGGTTCTTCCATTGCTGAGAAAAGCAAGATGAATAGGCTGGCTGAGTTGTCCTGTCCATGCCTTAAGTTACTGAATAATTTTTAACCCTAATTTCTACACCTCACATCCTGTTTTATGGAGGAAGCGCTATGCTGCTTAAACCAGAACAATTACAAGCAAATGTGAATGCTATTACAGTGTTAGCTATATTGTATCAGGATCTGTTTCCCTAGTTCAGAGGTGATGAAAGGTAGTTCTTCTGTATTTAACATCATTTCTAATCTAAATATTGCCAGAATTTGAATATGCTTCATTTCCATGTCTGATGCTATGTAATTAAACAGTTCTTTTCTCTTGTTTATGCCATCTGTGTAAGATGCTTCTAAAGTTAAAAAGAAAACTCTTTTGTTTTCAGTTGGAACCATGCCTTTAAAAATCAGATCACGACGCTGCAGGGTCAGGCGAAAAATAGAGCAAATCCAAATCGGAGTGAAGTTCAGGCGAACCTTTCTCTGTTCTTAGAGGCAGCTAGTGGCTTCTACACACAGGTGAGTTGCAAAAATTATTTTGGCTGTGGTATATTTGCACAGTCTGGAAGCAAGCACGCTTCATCCTTACACTGCTTCTGTGCGGGTCCTTTACAAAGAAAGCTTCAGCTGTTAGACCTCCTGTGCTGCTCCAGCAACTGCTCATGAGAGTTGTCCAGTATCATCCCAGCATGTAATCCCTTTGAGTAAGGGCCAGATGATTGGTTTTAGATGGGTAAAATCGGTTCTCTATCCCTTAGCATAGGAAACTATTGCTGTACTGGAACAAGCAGTATACCTTGGTAATGCTGCTGCTCTCAGTAAAATATGCCTACAAAGCTGGTGATGTGCCTGCTTTCAGTCAGCCGCAGCCTCAAGTTGATCCAAAACTGCTGCGAATCTGGTAGTTGTTTTGGTGCATCACAACAACACGGCTACAATTTAAGTTCCCTTTTAATAGAATCTGCTTTAAAGCCTAAACCCCACTGCTTTGGGTAAGAGCAAAGGTCCATTTATTCCCATATTTTGTCTCTTACAATCATGGTCTGCTGTGAATTCTCAGAGCAAACATTAAGCAGCAGAAAAATGTAGAATGATGCTTGCTGTAATATCTTGCTTTCTGACTGTACTTTTGTTGCCTTCTTGAGCTGGTTTGTATCTGAACCATCTAGCTATTTTAGGAGGTCTAGCCTTCGTCGACACTCAGTCTGTCTTGAAGCCATTGAAGTCCGTGCTGTGATCTGTGGTGAAGAATTCTCTATTTTAATTGTCATGTTTAAGAGTAACAGTGACACACAAAAAACTCAAGCCCAACAAACATGCTAACTGATTATTTCATTGTACTCTTAGGTCTTCCCTTCTGCTCTTTCTCTAAAAATTCCTATTCACCTTCTCATTACTAGGTATGAATTTGTGGGCCATTGTCATAATTCCTTTTAATTTTGAAAAATGTGAGACTTCCCCTCTATAGCAAAAGATAAGAAAAGATAATAGATTTTGTTCTTGGCTCCAGTTATTCAAGAACAGAATTCTAACATGCAGAGGCAGTGAGGATGTATGATGGCTTAATGTTTTGTGCTTTGTCCTGTGGCTCTTCCTTGTAACTCCTAATGCTGATGGTGAGCACTGAGTTAATGTTTTCCAAGAACTGTCTATGCACAGACTACACATACATTTGAATACAGCTTTTTTCTGAATAATGCTTAACTTAGCACCCATTGCAGTTGCGTATTTAAGTAGGTTGGTTGTCCCCAAGAGTATTATGTAGTGTTTACAATGTATAATGTCTTCCTGGGTTTTTTTGCTCAAGACTCCCACGCTTACAAGAACATCTTCAGTCTTAATTCTGTATTTTTGTCAACTATTTAGACTTTCAAACCTCAGTTATAGGAACTTTTCTTCCCCTGAAGCAAAACTGCATTGTTGAGCTAAATATCTTTTGCGATGTTTTTAGCTAATTGCTAAAAGGTTGTGATTCCTATTCATGTATTCAGTTACTTCCTGGCAGTTCTTTGCCCATACAATCTTTCCAGTGTTAGATTTCAGCTTGGAGATTATGTAGTTAGTATGTGATGATGGCCTTAATAAAGATAACTTGGCTTGCTTTCTTCTTCCCCCCCCCCCACCCCCCCCCCCCCCCCCCCATATGTACTTCATCAACATGGTCACTGCTGAATCCTCTAGTAATCTCTCGTAATGGTCTAGACTTTGTCATGGCTAGTTTACACCGTCTTCAGGTTCCAATGCACACAGTAGGTCATTCTGACTGTGTCAATTCCTAGTTTGATTCTGAACATCTGCAAGACAGCCCCAGGTTTGTTTTTTTCAGAATCTGCGATTACCTTTTTTTTTTTTCCCCTTTTATTCCCCCTTTGGTATTGTTTTTTGGAAGCTTCTTACTTGAAGCAGCCAATTTGACAGGTCGTGGCATGGTTTCCAATGGTTTTCAACTATCTCCACCGTTGGTCTTGCAAAAGCCGCCTTCTTTCCTGCAGTGCATCAGGGAATTTTGCTCTTTATGTGTATGACACCACAGACTGGGTCATCTTTCTCTGTTTGCTGTGATGTTAATTGTCTCATTTTTAGTCTAAAGATCTTGCTCAGGCAAGATACCTGCTCTCCAGCTGCGAGGCCTGTGTAAATGACATCTTTGAAAGAGAGCATGAATTCTTGTAATTCAGCATGTTGGAAGATGTCAAGTTTCTCTCTTTTATCCAGCTTTCATCTATGAGATCCTACTCGGTTGGAGATTTTTATCTACTCTATAAAAGACAGAGCAAAACGGGAGGGAGGTGTAGCACAAACCTTTTTATGCAGCAAGCAAAAGCATTGCATCGCATATTTAGCTGTTGACAGAGTGTGCATCTCTGTCAGCCCTGGGCTTTCTATATGCCTTGATCTGAAAGTGGAACCCTGCTCCAGGTCTGTTTTATTTGGATACTGAGAATGTTCCCAGCTGGGAGAAAGTCTGTCTATTCTTCCTTGCATTTTTAACTCTGTCACACAGTAGAACAAACACTTTTCATCGCTATGTGGTTACCCTTACTTTCTGGAGTATTTGCTGGAGTCCATTAGGAAGAACTTCAAAAACACTGATTAGAATGGCAAAGTTCAGGATTTCCTTCAGTCAGCTTTTGAGATATTTGATCAAGTAACTGATGCCTTGTTCTTTGAAAGAG